AAAAAAAATCCCCAAAAATTCCAAAAGAATCAGTGTTTAACTGTTAACTTTATATTTGGTTTACAGGAAATATGTGCAGTCAGTAAGATAAGCAAGAAAGAAATTGGTCGCTGCTTCAAGCTTATATTGAAGGCACTGGAGACCAGTGTTGATCTCATTACTACAGGGGACTTTATGTCTCGTTTCTGTTCAAATCTTGGTATGACTGCTACAACTTCTCTTCTAACTTTACTTGCTTGCCCACGGTCAATGGCTTCTAACATGTTTGACTTGATGTATCACAGGCTTACCGAATCTGGTACAAAGAGCAGCTACTCACATAGCTCGGAAAGCTGTAGAATTAGATATTGTCCCTGGTCGATCTCCTATTTCTGTTGCTGCCGCGGCCATTTATATGGCATCACAGGTAATTTTCTTGTTTGAGAAAAAGGTGGAACTCAAAACTGTGTTCTGTGACTCACTCTTCTTTTTCTATAGGCATCAGAAGACAAACGTACCCAAAAAGATATCGGTGACATTGCTGGTGTTGCTGATGTTACCATTCGACAGTCCTATAAATTGATGTATCCTCATGCTGCTAAACTCTTCCCTGAAGATTTCAAATTTGCTACACCCATTGATCAGCTACCTATGATGTAAATTAGATATCTGGGCAGAAAAGGATATTTAGCTGAAGACTGCAGTCACCCTTATGTTATTTGATGGCATTGTTTTGTCATCCAGTCTCCTCCTGAGGTTCTTCCTAATTGTTATTGTTATTTCCTTTGACTACCAACTTATTTTTATTTCTTTTTCCTTTGATATTTGTGACCATTTGGTTTCAAGTCTTACTGTAAGGACTCAAAGGCTGGTGTCAAAATTGACAGTCTGACAGAATTTTCCCATGTTCTTAGATTTCTTAATTGAGCTTTAGCTCTAAGTTATAACCTGGAAACAAATGTTGACAGTAAATACTTCAGTAGAGTTTGTACATAGTGAAATCTTTTATTTCTTTGTCAACAATATTGTGTTCACAATGATTCATCATACCTTTACATTGATGTTTAAATTTCCCAAAGGTGTTATGTAATCCAACTTGTTAGACTGTTTAGGTTTGCTAGTACAATTAAAATACTTTCAATCTACCTGGGTCCTTCATTTTGACCTTTACTGCTGCATTGAGAAGTACAATTAAATGCCAAAGGGTGACTAACAAATCTCCCATCTTATTTTAACCAGTTGAATGTGTACAGTGGGTTTCATCTCTCAAAAGAAACCTTGAAGCCAGTTGAATTCTGTGTACAGCCGTGTTGTGTTGTGACAAGAGGGAAGGCCCAAGCCCACCAGCCTACAGCACAGTATAACGATGGAAAGTGGATGGCCTGTACCAATTTAGAGTTCCACAGCAAGTAATGTGTCATTGGATTCTAATTAAGGGAGGGCAAACTTCCAACATGAGGAGATTGGTAAAGATATTTTAAAAATATAACAGCTTAAACGTTTTATTACATAGGTATACACGTTACAATACTAAAAGCTCTTACAGGAACCATGTTACAGTAAAATTATTTACACAAAACAATTCATCCATTTAATTTTCAATAGATGGGAAGGAATTGAATATGGTGAAGACTCCTGAATAATGTGATGTACACCTTGGGTAAGGATAACAAAGGAGTCTTTAACTACAGGTATGCACAATATGGACATAGAACATGAATTTTAAGTTATGAATTTAAAAATGATTAATGGCACAGCACACATTTCAACACCAATATTCACACTTACACAACACAATAAAATGTAGTGAACCACAGCCTTAATAATTAATGTTCTGGAAATTTTCACCCATCAATTGATTGCCAAGTGATGGCAAACAGCAATTTCCATCTGAGCAATTTGTTGCAGTAACACACAAGCTTAAAATAGAAGAAAATAATCACAGTTCATCCCCAAGTCATGAGGGATAACTTGAGCTATCACTAAACCCTGTGGATTTTTTACAACTAAAGAGAGCGAAGACAAATGCTTCGGGAAATACTTTAGTGATAAAATATTTCTGAGATTTGTACACAAACATTAAAAACGAATACAGAAACAGAAGATTTACTTCTTCTTTCCCTTCTTGTCCGGTACATCTTCTAAGCTCTTCTTCAGACCGAAGGAGTTGATTGCTGTAGACAGAGGTGAAAAAGTTCGTCAGTACATACAGTATCATTAGCCACACGAGGGAGCTGAGCTGACTAGGGCCGCGGCGCTTACCTTCGTACTCCTTGTCGCACTTGAGGAGCAGCTCGTACCACTGCAGCCCGCTGATGCGCGGGAGGGCCACGCTGCCGCCGTACACGTCCGGGAGGCACTTGGGGCTCACGTAGCTGTGGAGGGACTCCCTGTCCGTGCCGTGGAAAATGATCTGCGAGAAAGAAAAGAAAAAACAGAGGGTCAGCAGGTTTACCATAGGATTCGTCCAGAAAGTACGTCCGTTTTTCTAAGACTACTTCCAAAAATTACTGGCACTCGGGGCGCCTGCGAGCCTTAGGGTAGGCCACCCCGCGGTGCACGCATGCTCTGCAGACAATGTGTTGCCTACCCATCAGGCGCTATGGGAGCTCCCGTAGGCTCTTTCCTAACGGCGAATGACGGACGTACTTTGTTGCACCACCAGCGGGCGACAGAGGGGGGGGGGGGGGGGTCGCACTACTCACCCTGCTCCTGAGCTTCTCGCGCAAGAAGGGCTTGAAGAGGGCGAACACCATGTTGAAGATGTACGGCTGGTTGATGATGTGGATGTTCTTGACGCGGAGCGGCACGCTGTCCTGGAGCCAGTCCACTATCCTCTTGGCGAAGGGCGGCGTGAACTGCCACACCTGCTGCATGCTCAGGCCGTCCATGTCGAAGATGACGACGGCGCCGCAGACCTGAGTCTCGGGCTCCAGCATGGCGGCCTCCAGGAAGAGCACACAGCCCTTGTACACCTCGTCCAGCGTCGTCTTCTTGTGGTTCCACTTCTCTGCAGAGCAAACGTGCAAACGATGCTTAGTAATGGTAATTTTAATGGTTTTGCAAAATTGTTCAAGAGTTGTTTAAATCTATATTTTTCTGACAAGTTTAATTTTTAAAAAATGGTTCTGGAAATATTTTAAATTTCCGTATTTTTTTCTAGAAGAGATTTAATGTTTTCCGGAAAGTTCGTGGTACTCACTGCCGAGTTCCAGGACGAGGATGCGGCGGCCCAACTGGTCTCTGTTGGGGCACACCGTCAGCATGTTGGCCTCGAAGATGTTGCGCTCCTTGCTGGGGAGGAGGTCTCGGTAGACGCTGCTGTGCTTCTCCTTGAACGAGTAGTACCGCTTGATCTGGAACAAGGAAGCAAAGGTGGTTGCCGTCAGTATAATTAGTCGGAAGGACGTTGAAAAAACACACGAAAACAAAGAAAAACACACACGGAAAAAAACGAGAATCAAACTTGAGATTCCGTTTTCGATGGTTGGACAGCACAATTCAAGGAAAGCCAGTCAGGCTTTGACACGCAAGTTTAGCAAAAAGCGTCTCTATGACCACTTCCTGCCCGAGCCCATAGGCTCAGAAGGTCCTTCAGGATTACCGGGACGTCGGACCTTAGTTTAGAGGATATAGGTGACTCACCAGCTCGTACGCGCTCTCCGGGTAGTACTTGCACGGCCTGAGGAAGCGCACCAGCCAGGCGTCGTTGTCCATCGGCACAACGATGTCCTTGTCCTCTGCAAAGAAGAAGGAACACATACAGTGGCGTCTTTAGTGCCGGATCGTCAAGAGTTCCGCGAATCCTACATCCGTCCCCGCGGCACACTTTGTCACAAGGGGGGCGTTGGACTTCCCCTCCCCGGTGAGGTAGGCAGGCATCAACGCGACGCTCCCCGACCTCGACCCTGAGGCCCTGAGGCCCGCGCCGTGCCCATACTCCCCGGTGCACACGCGAACCTAGCGCACGCACGTGACCGCCCGAACACACGTTCACGCACGAACGGCCTCGGCCTGTCCTAGGGGGCGGCTGTGTGTCCGGCCACTTGATCCTCGCTAGGTATCCGGCGGGACGTTTTGGCGCGGACTTCTTTCCTCTTGGCTCGCGGCGGCGCACGCACGCGGGCGGTAGGTATAGGTAGGGAAACAAAGCCGGTGCCATTTCCTGGGAGGCTCCCCCCCTTCAAAGTACTGGATATTTTATTTGTTTGAAACGGCGTACTTCTTGCGCCGCGCAAGCAGTCATGCTCTGTCGAAAATGATTTTAAAATTTTGGAACGATATCCGTTTTTGTGGTCAATTTCTGCCCCCTCGGCATTATTGGGTGTCTATGTGACATCGTTTTGTCGTCACGTCACATAATTGGCCGTTGGCCGTCATCGAGTCTACAACCACCATCAGCCGCAAGGGAAACTACAAAGTGCGAAACGAAAAGTTCGCGGAAATGAGCGATCTCAAGGAAAATGAAAAATTGCAGCGCGGGGAAGACCAATCATCGCGGAGACGGAAAGTGACAAACGTGCGAGAAATGTCAAACGGAAGTGGCGGGTGGTTGTCGGTGGTGGTGGTGGTGGTGGTGGTGGTGGTGGTGGTGGTGGCCGGCCCAGACCGCGGCGGGGCAGGTGGCGTGGCGTAGCTCACGTCGTCGGGCCGCGAGCGCCACGCGGCAGGGCAGGGCCCCACGTCACGCAATACTAGTGTCACTCCAACTGCAGCACGAATAATGCGGCCCACTCGGCCGACCAATTGTTTTACTGCCTGCCGCTGTCGGCGGCGGCACGCAGCACCAACGCCGCTCTTCTATACCCGCCCAACAAAAACCCCGCAGCCGGCCCCGTTTCACGTGTGTCATGCATGAGGCGGCAAATATGTCCAGGGGGAATGAAATGCAGTTTTGTATACCCTGCGCGCGGTCGTTGACCGCGCAAGTCACACGTGTATTGGGTAGTCTCGGAAGGACTTGTTGCGGTACCCCATTGTCTTCCAGAGGAACTCTCGATGAGCTTTGATTACCTCCAGAAGAGACTGCTAAGTAAGTGCCTGGCCTTGTTCTCGCCCCCC